TCTATCTATCTATCTATCTATCTATCTGTCTGTCTGTCTGTCTGTCTGTCAATTTTTTCTATCTATCTATCTATCTATCTATCTGTCTGTCTGTTTGTCTGTCTATCTGTGAGATGGTTTCTTGTATCTGCAGGGGAGATGAACTGATATGACAGGTGGAGGGACACAGTAATGCAGGGGTATTAATGTCCCCAGAAGTGGGAGGAATAATGATTGCTACACCCCTGATCTTCAGACACATTAGGTGCATTCAAGTGAAAAAAGGAGTTTAGGAGACAATGAACTAGCGAGTTATGGCTTGATCTTTCTCTTTCACCCGCTCTTATCTTCATAATGTTATTTGAGGGTCCATTGCATGTCTATGCAATATCAAGTTTTCACTCTCTCTCTCTTTCTGTCCCTGGAATTCAATTCAGGTCAAATCGTTCTCCTTTATTGTCATGATCTGAAAAGATTGCAGGTATCCAACTCATAAAAACTATGTGTGTGAGTGAGTGAGTGAGTGTCCAGATCAGATCTTCTCACTCTCAGTTTCCCACTCCTTCACACACACACTTTAATACCTAAATGTCTCTCATCTTCTTTGATGTCTATGTCTTCTTTTCCACCGTCATTTTTTGTAGATACACAATCTTTTTAGTGCTCTCTCAATCACTTTATCCTTTAAATTATTCCTTTCTTCCTTTCTTAAGTGAATACCTTCATCTATCATGTACTCCTGATGCTTTATCTCCACCTAGAGTAATGTATATTTGTAGGTATTTTTACATACAGTGTACACACACATTTTCATTTGGATAGATGCTGAATTTATAATATCAATTAAGTTGAAATCCTCTCACATTTGAAAACATTAGAGATGTACAAATCTTTGTGAAACCTCTGAGGTCAATCAGAACTGAAATTGCCAGATCCTTTGCAAAAGAAAGTCACTTTTAATGGCAAATTTAATTACAAATAAAATCCAGATGTGACTAATAAAAGTTACGTACAAGCATGAAATGTATGTAAAATACACTGACAATGTCACATTAATGTGTTTGTGAGTTTATGTTATATAAAGGACATTCATATAGTTCAAACAGTTCAAGGTCATGGGTTAAATTCCCAAAGAATGCATGAACTAATTAAATGTAGACCCTGAATGCAAGACGATATAAATAAAAGCATCTGACAAATGTAAAAAAAAAAAAATTATAAAAAAATAAATAAATGTTAACAATCTGGAAATCTGTATTGTTTTGCAGTATAAAGATGTCTTTAGATTTTTCTCAAAATTAAAATGAAAAAAATTGTATGAACATTTTCTAAATATTACTTTTATCATTATTGCTGTTGTTGTTATTACTAACAGATGATTACTTATTAGCAGTAGTAGTAATATATATTCATTTGTAGTATATATTTATTTGTAATTATTATTATTACTACTACTAATATTACTATAATGATGATGATTATTATTACAAATAATCACCATTCTTTTCTTCTTCTTATTATTATTATTATTAATAATAATAATATTACATTAAATTTTCTTTATGATTTGGTGAGTTATTAAATGGGTGGGACTTTGCAACAAAAGGCCAATAATTTGACATTCGCCACTGTAAATAAAGTGCTCAGAGATTTTGTGACTCGCCAGGCATTACATTTATTTGTTCATATTGTTTTTTTTTTTTTGTTTGTTTTGTTTACATTTGGAGTCCTGAGCTACTTTGGTACAATGTAAAATGCAACCTTGTTACCTTAAGAAGCTATTTCTAAAACTTTTATCATTCTAAAACCAGTTTAGTTTTGTTGATTAGTTTAAATTGATTCAGCGATGTTCATTTATATTTTTGAATTACATTCAATTAATTTAGATGTTACCACATGAAGCACATGTTTATTTAACATTTTTTCAATGTAGTTTAAGAAGCACCTCTTAGAAGCAACATTACAGACACA